AAGGGGTGACACCTCTCGTGAGGTTGAAATTTACAAGCCCAAATGTAATCGACCTGATTCTGCTGGATCTGCAGAAGCCATTAATAACAGCAAAGGCAAACAATCCCGAATATACGATCTCCATCCTCAAGATTTGGCATATCCTCATTGGAGCCACTCTCATCGTCACTCTCGTTGGTGATCTCTGGCTCATCCTAGCATGTCAAGGCAATTTGCCATGTACGTGGCACAACCAACACGAAAGATCTCAAAACCGGCAGCTCCCACCGAAGTCTTCGCCATCTTGCCAGATCTTGCGTGCGGAAAGACAACTATTAAATCCTTGAGCCAAAGGTTGCAAATGAAGTCGAAGCGGGTTAGCACACATTGGCGGAAACATCCTGATCAAGCAGAGATGCCCATGTCAAGCACCAGAGATGCCCATGTGAAAAAACAGCAGCAAGCTGAAGAGCAGGCCTCAATGTGACTGTCCAAGAAAACAACAATCTCCGCGCGAGCTCGCCATGCCCCTTCCATCCGCGCAAGCCTCAACGACACTGAGCTGCGCAAGGCTCAACCCATCTTGGCTTCTAACAGCACCTGTTGTAGGAGTGATGCTTCACGAAACCACCAGGAGTGACCATTTGCAAATGATCACAAGCATATCACCACTCACAAGGCACGTGAGAAATATCGTCTACACCCACATTGTCATGTCGTCCACACAAGCAAACACGCACAAGGCGCCATGAGTCACCATGAGACTGTGAACTCAGATGCCGGCATCAGGCCACGCCGCTCACCCAAGCGTACCAGCCGCACCTCACTGAGACTCTTCAGTAAATCTTTTGATACTACAGTGCCTTTAGCTACTACTAGTAACAAGGACGCTATTAGGTGGAGGCCATCGCTATTAGGTGGAGGAGGCCATCGCTATTAGGTTGAGGCCATCGCTATTAGGTTGGAGGCCATCGCTACTAGTAACAAGATGTGTTTTTCGAAGCTCCGCCTTTGGCAGCTGCAGTACATACTCTAGCAGTGGTTTCTGCAATCTTTGCCACCGCTCCTGACACACTGAAGGATGTTTTTCCAAAAGAATTTCGAGAAAATCAAAGCAAAAGACAAAAGATTTCGAGAAACGAAGCACTCAGAACTTGGCTCCTCGGTGAAACGACCAGGGTCTGGCACCGAGGCATCGTCCACCAGGATCACTTCATGCCTCTGGCAGAGATGATCAGTGCAGATAGAGCCATCTGTGCCGGTCTGTGTCCTGTGTGTTTGGAGATGTGCCAGTAATTCTTCAACAACTCTTTAATCTCTTCAGTACCTATAAGGGCTCTTTGATCATCTTTGACCTCCTACATCTGCTTGCCTTTTGGGATTCCTTCCAAGAGATGAGTTCATTGAGAGCCCAACAGCAAATCTTGCGGTGATTGGTTCAAGACCTCAGGCCAAGGCAGCCAAGGCACAGTCGACTGACTGTGTGAGCTGAGCAGCGTTGCGTGAACCGCAGAACATCCTGGGCCTCCAACCTACTAGCAATGGCCTCCAACCTAAGAGCGATGGCCTCCAACCTAAGGGCAATGGCCTCCAACATGGCCTCCAACCTACTAGCGGTTGTTCCAATCCTCTAAGTCTCTCCTACGGCGACCGCTCCGCCCTCTTCGTCTCCGCACGGAGTGCACCGAACGTAGGAGTACCGAGGCCACCTGAAAGCAGCGAAGTGTACCGACAGCCAATGCCAAAGGACAAAATGGTGCAGAGCAACTCGTACACGTTTGGTTCAAGGCAAAGAAACGTGTCGACTTCGTCTCCAGCAAATTTGATGTTACTAGTAGCGTCCTTGCTCCTAGTAGCGATGTCAGGAGCCCCTTAGTAACTTAGTAGCGTCCTTGCTCATAGCTTGGGTGTTCCGGACTTCGTTGTGAAAGACAATCACAATGGAGGCAGTCCGCAAATCCTTCCTGGGATGCCAGCAAAGAAAGAAAGATTGCAATTTGCAATGCATGGCAATGCTTCGGGCCGAGTGCCCAAAGTATCCCAAAGTTCTATGCAAAGAAACATGCAGCACCTTCACTTTTGAATAGTCTTGCCCAAACCAACCAACATAAAGGCCCAAGCGGATAGTTGCGGTGGCGAAGCTTGCAAACCTCCGGCCTCTCAACTGACATGCTCGAGTAAGTCCACACTTCAGTACGACCAAAACTCTGCATATGACATGCTTGAAGAAAACCTCTTGAAAAGGGCAAAACGCTTTCGGGTTGGGATGATTTTGGATGTACGAACAAGCCTGTTGTCAGTCCAACTGCTGCCTCGTGTCAGGTGCATCACGATCCAAAGGCACAGAATCCTGAGCTGGACAAAGCACGGTTTGTAGCGCTCTTGGACAAACCACCTGAAACACGGACGTTCGTTGCCCAGTGGCGCTTTTCGCTGCATTGTAGCATTGTCCCATGTGTGCCTGTTCGAAGGGACTACATCCAAAGCTTAAGGACAGAGAACGCATTTTGGTTTGAGGCCAAAGTGCTAGCAAGTGCATGAGCCTTCTGCTTGAAATCCATGGTCTCGCTGTTGCTCGGCAACGGTGTGGGCTTTATCTCAGCTCAAGATGCAATGAACAGGATCAAACGTCGCAGAATGACTGATGCATCAACCTTTGCCGATTTGCCACTAAAGCCTTTAATGTGCCTCAAGCATCTGGTTTCTGAGTTGTTCTTGCAAAGGCATCTGGTCGTTTGGTCGTTCTTAGGCAAGATCCCTTCATTCACACTTAGAAGACGACCAAAGGTGTGCCATCAGCACCAAGGCCGAGCTTGCCATGCCTTGCAAAAGGGAGTTGTCAGACGGTCCGAGACACAGGGGGGATCATTCGTTAAATGGGTGTGTATCTTAATAGGGACGCCCTGCCCAATAGGTGGACTGGTCTATCTCCCTTCTTCCGAGAGGTCTCCCTATGTTGATACACACCCAAATACGTCTCTGTCAACAAAGAGCTGGTCGATCTTTTAGGACCGAATCCCCTGAGCATTGCTTTAGGAAATCTTAGGAAGGCACTTGTTACTAGTAGCGTGGGACTTGTTACTACTAGCGTGGCACTTGTTACTACTAGCGTGGCACTTGTTACTAGTAGCGTGGCACTTGTTACTACTAGCGTGGCACTTGTTACTTCTAGCG